GGCCGGAGCCCTTGCATGCCTAGGCAGCACTTGTACATGTGCTATTCCTGGCAGACTAATCGCAAAATAAGGGCCGCACGAGCTGCCCAAAAAACACCACACCACCCAGCAAACATATCCAACACGTCGATGTCCTCAGTGCGACCCTATAGAACATATAGACCCTGCTGCCTATGTAGGTATCCTACGCAAGCGTGCATGCAATGCACCAAGGTTCTCTCCGGAAGCCACGGTGTGAGGTGGCGGCGATGTAGTCGAGGGCATGCAGCCTCGAGTGGGGCTGCTGCTTGCGTATGATTGGACTCGCGAGCTCACTATCGATCTTGCATATACGAGATGATCATGCTGTCTAGCGACAATATACAAGGAACATGAAGGTGGCACAGCAGCTTGAACTGGAGCTCGGTTAGATCCAGGGGGCGCGCCATGTCAGCTCCCGACCCAATCCCGGGCCCTAACATACACAGCTTCAGCTTCAAGAGATCCGTTCGTTGGCATAAGCACTTCTCACACTGCCGCTGCATGTGTACTACACACATGTACGCATCTACAGGCCGAGGGTCCGGAGTCCATAATCCCTAAACCCTAAACCCAAACCTCCTAAGTTTAAGCTTATAATATATAGACCCCTAGGCCTATCTACTAAAATGTAACAGACAACCACACACATGCGCATATTTGCCCACACGTAGAAGCCAGCTCGCATGCTGGATCGCGAGGCAAAAGCCTCGCTAAAGGCCCTAATGGCGATGCGACAATCACTGGGTGCAGGGCGTGCTCTCGTATCTATCGACACTATAATATACCTATCGCTATATAGTGCGTGCATGCTTAAGGATCACGCCGACACCCAACAGCGTATAGCCCATGAAATCAAAACTTGTGGTGCACACATAATTACTCGCGAGACTTCGACAGCTCAGTCAACTTGACCTTTGCAGCCTCAAACTCGTTGCGGACGGTGTCATAGGCAGTGCCACCGTCCAGTGCTCGGCACTTAGATAGTACAGGCGGAGAGCTCGAGGGAGAGAGACTGAGTGAGAGAGAGAGAGAGAAAAAAAAAAGAGAGGGAGAAAAGGAAACAATATTGCAGATCAGGATCGGCTTTGATGCACGGCTCCAGAATCTCTTCCCATGAAAGATTCTCACGAATATTGTGAGTGGCAATGGAGAGCACCTTTGGAATACGAACTCGACAAAAAATACAGAGACACACACACACACACACTAAAACCAGCTGCACACCGATACATGCTAGTGTCCACTCACGGAATGGCCTGACTCTTGCTTTGGTCCTCCAGCGCCAACCGAAGAATGCCGACCTCGCCTCTGCTCCAATAAGGCATTACCTGGGCTGGGTATATTTCCAAAAACTATCTACATGGGGCGGGGCCGATCAATCTCGAAACTGCGGTTGAGATTCGCGGTAGCGTGCCAACTTTGGCAGTGACTTTGTCAGCTTCGCTCGGTCTTCCTTGGAGATTTCCAGGCATGGGTTCCCGCCGCCAGAGGGCCCGCCTGTGTTTTTGGATGCCTCTGGCTTGGTCGTTTTGGCTTTCTTTGAGGCTGGCTCCTTCGGCTCATTGAGCTCACTTCCGGCCGGGGTTTGATCGCCTGACGATTTGCCTCGACCTCCTCGGCCACCGTCTTTTGGTCCACCTCGCCCTCGCCCTCGGCCTCGACCACGTGCACGGCCACGCCCGCGACCGGGCTCTTGGGTAGCATCAGGTTTGGCCTTCAAAGGTCTTTTCGCAAGTCGCCTTATCATTTCTCGGCACATGTACAGCATCCCCCGGATATATGCTTTTGAACACGACACACATGCATACACGCATACACATGCTAGTTCAATTCAAGATGCAGCTTGGACTGCATAGTCGGTAGCTCGAGTTCATCACATTTCTCCAATAACAGATCTCGTGCTTTGCTATCCCACGACGGTGGAAACCGAACGAGCGGCTCGTGATCCTTGATTTACATTTGCAGAACATATAGATGGCGCTGTCTACATAATCTACACATGTCCGTGATTTTACAAAGTTAAATCCGGTCCTTGTCACTGGTGCGCACGGTGCTGGGCTTCGCGGGCTTCTTCTGATCGTCCTGCACAGCATTGTAGGGTTCAGGGGTTTAGGGATTGTAGGGGTCTAGGGCTGTCGAGGTTGTAGGGTTTCGAAAATTAGCGGGTCTAGAGTTTGGGGCTTCAGGGCCTACATGTATACAGACAGAAAGAGAGAGAGAGAGA